AGTCTTGGAAAAGTTCCTCTTTCCCCTCTCAGGCCTCTAGCTCCAAGCCTAAGTCTTGAACATTTTTCAGAAGTAGTCCTCCATCCAGCCAAGTCTGACTCCAAGGCTTATGATGGGGCGCCCCTAGGTGCCAGAGTCAGGGGATATATTTGACCTTCTGCTTTCAAGAAATCTCTTATGTTTGGGTCCAGAATGTCATTTCCAGGGGTCACAAATTGGAGTTTCAAACTCTTTCTCCAGAGGGGGGAATAGATGTACATCTTCTCTGTACTGATTTGTAATTTTTTATGAAAAAGGAATAAACACTATTGGAAAACAAACTCTTTTCCTTCCTGCTTCAAGTTCTCAAATTTGTCTGTCTTTCTCCCCGAAAAGACTAGCAGATCAATCTTCTTGCTACTGTTCAGCAGCTCTTGCTCGCTAGGGAACATTCTCTCTGTCCCAAGTGCAGAAACCTTTCAGGGTTCTGACTCAAACCTGTTCACAGTTCCCACACCAAATGGAGTAGTTTGCCCATTTTGGAACTAAAAACTCTCAACTTGTTCCTCTGGGTTCAAAAGTTCAACATGGAATCAGCGAAGCTGGTCATTGCTTCCCTCCTTCCAGGCAATTTTCTGGCTCCAACAGACCTCTAAGATGCCTCATTGTACATTCCCATGCTTCCTCATAATTAAATCTGTGTTTTGCTGTGGGTAGTACCAGTTTGTTGTCCTTCCTTCTGGCCTGTCTTTAGCCCCCCTGCTTTATTCTCAGGGAATACACATTCTGGATTGCCTGGACAAACTCTTGCTGGGGGATCAGCCCCCCTATCTCTGTCAGCCATCTCATGTCCAGAGAACAGAAAAGACTTTGCAGAATTTTGGCTGGATCCCTCATCGATTAGAGTTAGCCTAACTCTGGATTATCCATGGTTAAAGACCAGTTAAAAAAACATTTTTTGGCATACAGTACAGGACGCAGGTCCTTCCTCTGTGTTCTTTATGATCTCACTATTGCTTGCTAAAACACTGAGGCTAGATGGGAGTAGGAGAGGTTACATACAGAGTTAAAAGTCCTGTACTGTACTAGAAGAAACTGTCTTTAATGGAAAGTCAAAAATACTATTATTAGCTTAATAGGTAGGATGCTTGAGAAAAGTGCAGCATGCTCCTTTTATGATGTTCATGCACTTTGGCTTCATTAGTGAAATTAAAGATGGTTTCTTATTGGTTATGTTGGTAATGGTGGAGAGCATATGGATGCTTGGGATTTGGACAGTGTAAACATACAATGGGGAGACTGTTACAAAAGAATACCCCTTCCTGGCTTTGATGGATATTTCAGGTTTGCAACAAATGTGCAAGCTGCTGTCTCTGGGAATGCTGTAGGTGAGGGAAATGAGGGGAAATGATTATTATAGTACGTGAATATAGTGAGGGAAGGAATTCAGGATGATTGATGCTGAGCAGGCTTTTATTGATTTAGGGTCGAGCAGGAACTCGGTTATCTAATACATTGTATAAACAGCACACCATTGCTGGCATGTAATTAATATTTTATAGAATAAGTAGCTGAAAGAAAATGCTTTAATATGTACTGCAGTATTACTTTCCCTGTTATAAGATAAGAGCTACACTTGGGTCATGCGAAACCAAAGGAACTTGCGAAAAAAATGCCAGCTGTTGGATGTTTTCTGCAGTAACTCATTGCTATCAGCTTTAGACCAGCATTGGGGCTTCAAATAACTAAAATGTTCCTAGAAAAGTAACACTTCTTTCTAGTCACATTGCCAGGCATTATTTTTTTGAGTTACTTTTTACTTGCATTTGCCTTCATATTTGCTTCATTTGATCCAACGCATTATGAATAAGTATAGAGTTTCTTTTCTGACTAACTTACCCATTTGTTAAACAGCAGAAATATAGAGGGAGTATAACGTTTATATACATAGGGGTTTAATAGGGGTTAGAAGTTAGTTAAATGTTTAAAGATAGGATAAAACTAAGTTGTTAAACAAATGCCCAATCGATTACTTCCTAAGTTTGCCCAGAGGCATTATGGGATCCGTAGTTGCCTACCCCCCCTGCTTTCGAGCTTAGGGATACCAGGCCCATTGCACTGTGCAGTTGGGCAGCTCTATATGAGTTGTTGGGGAGCTATTGTGTGCTTGCAGCTGCTGGTGGTTAGCAGAAGAGGGAGCCTGGCAGCACTTGGGGAGGGGGGCAATTACTGGAACAGATCCCCTGTATGGCTCCCTCTGCAGCAGCCTAAAGCCAGAGGGAAGGGGAGCAGAAGAAGCCAGTTTTCAGCTGCTTCAGAGAGAGCCATACAAGGGACCAGTTCCATTCCATAATCACCCCCACACTGTGTCGATCACCCTCCCTTCCCACATCCGAGCCCCTCTGCTGGCCTGGGACTTGTACAGGAGGACCAGTGTTACCCCCATATCCATGGGGGAGGGGCGGTGACGTTATCACGCATCCACAGAGGAACGGCGAGTATATTTACTGAAAGCAAACACACCAGCCAGGCTGTCTGAAGCACGATCTGGATACATTGAATAAACAAAGCAGCCAGTGAAGAAAGCACAATTGAGAAGGCTGAGCTGAGGAGAGAGGAGAGGAGACAGGAAGGAGAGGTTCAAGCTGCGAACACAGACTCATCACATTAACTAAATTGAATAACAACACCATCTCAAATTCAAAGAAAATAATTGACATTCCCATTTTCTATTAATTTTTTATTAATTTTATTCACATAGAATTGACATTCCAATTTTTCATTAATTTTTATTAATATTTGTTATAATCACATATAATTTTTTAATTCACATTTATAAATGAATTTATGTTAATTGTATATTTAAGCACCATAGAAGTAAGTAATGATTGGATTATAGGTGGTATATTAAGAAATTCACACAATCAAAAAAGGTCAATCACAAAGGTTGATAATATTGGAGCGCGGTACAGTACAAGAATTCATAGTTTATATTTTATACACCTAGAGAGGGTGTAATTAGTGCCTAGCGATCTAATATTTAATAAATATTCACTTAAGCACACAATTAACACTAATAATAGAGTAAGTTAACTCCTGGTGGCTCACAAAAAACTATTCTATTAAAATCACAGTCCTACCTGTGGCCACGGGGACTGTTGGAACACGTGAATCTATTTATTTGGTGCGGTGTCCCAATATTGTTGGCAATATAGTGTGTGTGTGTGTGTATGTATGTATGTATGTGTATATATATATATATATATATACAGTGGGGATCGAAAGTTTGGGCACCCCAGCTAAAAATTTGTATTAATGTGCATAAAGAAGCCAAGGAAAGATGGAAAAATCTCCAAAAGGCATCAAATTACAGATTAGACATTCTTATAATATGTCAACAAAAGTTAATTTTATTTCCATCATTTACACTTTCAAAATAACAGAAAACAAAAAAATGGCGTCTGCAAAAGTTTGGGCACCCTGCAGAGTTAATATCTTGTACTGCCCCCTTTGGCAAGTATCACAGCTTGTAAACACTTTTTGTAGCCAGCCAAGAGTCTTTCAATTCTTGTTTGAGGTATCTTTGCCCATTCTTCCTTACAAAAGTCTTCGAGTTCTTTGAGATTTCTGGGCTGTCTGTCACGCACTGCTCTTTTAAGGTCTATCCATAGATTTTCAATTATGTTGAGGTCAGGAGATTGTGAAGGCCATGGCAAAACCTTCAGTTTATGCCTCTTGATGTAATCCCCCGTGGATTTCGAGGTGTGTTTAGGATCATTATCCATTTGTAGAAGCCGTCCTCTCTTTAACTTCAGCTTTTTCACAGATGGCATCAAGTTACCATCCAAAATTTGCTGAAATTTTATTGAATCCATTTTTCCTTCTACTTGTGAGATGTTCCCTGTGCCACTGGCTGCAACACAACCCCAAAGCATGATTGATCCAACCCCATGCTTAACAGTTGGATAGAGGTTCTTTTCATTAAATTCTGTGCCCCTTCTTCTCCAAACGTACCTTTGCTCATTCCGGCCAAAAAGTTCAATTTTAACCTCATCGGTCCACAGAACTTGTTTCCAAAATGCATCAGGCTTGTCTATATGTTCATTTGCAAAGTTCAAACGATGATTTTTGTGGTGAGGACGTAGAAGAGGTTTTCTTCTGATGACTCTTCCATGAAGACCATATTTATACAAGTATCTCTTTATGGTGGAATAGTGTACCACAACTCCAGTGTCTGCCAGATCTTTGTGGAGGGATCGTGCAGTCAAACGTGGGTTTTGAATTGTTTTTCTCACAATCCTGCGAGCTGTTCTGTCTGATATTTTTCTTGGTCTTCCAGATCTTGCTTTAACTTCCACTGTTCCTGATGACTGCCATTTCTTAATTACATTCTGAACAGAGGATATTGACATCTGAAAACGCTTTGCTATCTTCTTATAGCCTTCTCCAGCTTTGTGAGAGTCAACTATTTTCAGTTTCAGTTTTCTAGACAACTGCTTAGAAGAACCCATGGTGCTGATTGTTGGGGCAAGGTCAGATGAGTCTGGGCATTTAAAACCTTTGAGATTGACATCGCCTGGTCTTCCCAGACGATGATTGAGAACAATCCATGACACTGGCAGGTCTCAGCAATGCAAAGGGGGCAGTGCATGCTATAAATTCTGCAGGGTGCCCAAACTTTTGCAGACGCCATTTTTTTGTTTTCTGTTATTTTGAAAGTGTAAATGATGGAAATAAAATCTAACTTTTGTTGACATATTATAAGAATGTCTAATCTGTAATTTGATGCCTTTTGGAGATTTTTCCATCTTTCCTTGGCTTCTTTATGCACATTAATACAAATTTTTAGCTGGGGTGCCCAAACTTTCGATCCCCACTGTATATATATATATATATATATATATATATATATATACATGTGTGTGTGTGTGTGCGTGTATACAGTAAATATATATATATATATATATATATATATATATATATATATATATATATATATATATATATATATATATACACACACACACACACACTATCTTGCCAAAGTTATTGGGACACCCCTCCAAATCATTGGAGTCACGTGTTTCAATCATCTCCATGGCCACAGGTGTATAAAATCAAGCACCTAGGCATGCAGACTGCTTCCACAAACATTTGTGAATGAATGGGTCGCTCTCAGGAGCTCAGTGAATTCAAGGGTGGTACTGTGATAGGTTACCATCTGTGCAGTAAGTCCACCCGTGAAATTTTCTCTAGAGTGACAAATCACGCTTCTCTGTCTGGCAATGCAATGGATGTGTCTGGGTTTGCCGGTTGCAAGGAGGAACAGTACTTGCCTGACTACATTGTGCCAAGTGTAAAATTTTATGGAGGGGGATTATGTTATGGGGTTGTTTTTCAGGGGTTGGGCTTCCATTGAAGGGAACTCTTAAGACGTCAGCATACCAAGACATTTTGGAAAATTTCATGCTCCTAACTTTGTAGGAACAGTTTGGGGATGACGTCTTCTTGTTCCAACATGGCTGCTCACCAGTGCACAATATAAGGTCCTAAAGACATGGGTGAGCAAGTTTGGGGTGAAGGAATGTGACTGGCCTGCACAGAGTCCTGACCTCAACCCAATAGAACACCTTTGGGATGAATTAGAGCGGAGACTGCGAGCCAGGTCTTCTCGTCTGACATCAGCGCCTGACCTCACAAATGCTCTTCTGGAAGAATGGTCAAACATTCCCATAGACACACTCCTAAACCTTGAGATCATAGCTGCAAAGGGTGGGTCAACTCAATATTGAACCCTATGTACTAAGACTGGGATGCCATTAAAGTTCATATGCGTGTAAAGGCAGGCATCCCAATATTTTTGGCAATATAGTGTATATATCGTTGGATAAAGAAAGTGACTCTGTCAATATTTGTACATCAGTTTCTCAGTATTTACAACTCTTTAGTATTTAGATTAAAGGGCTGACATAAATACATAGACAGTTACCTCTCTGCTCTTAGAGTTCAATTAGTAAGTTGTCAATTGAGACATTAGAGTGTTTACCTGGAAAAGGCGAAGCATAAAGAGCTCTAGTGTAACAGAAACTGTATCCATCCATTTGTGCAAACAGAGACCAATACATGTAATTGTTCTATTTTCTCATTTATACATTTTTTTCTTCTTCTAATATACTACTGTGCAAAAGTTTTAGGTGGATGTAAAATAATGCTATAACTTAAGAATTCTTTCAGAAATAGAAGTGTTAACATTTTTTTTTATCAATAACAAAATGGAAAGTAAATGAACAGAAGATAAATTCAAATTAAATCAATATTTGCTGTGACCATCCTTTGCCTTCAAAAAAGCATCATTTCTTCTGGGTACACTTGCACTCAGCTTTTGAAGGAACGTGACAAGTAGGTTGTTTCAAACAGCTTGGAGAACTAACCACAGATCTTCTGTAGATGTAGGCTGCCTCATATTCTTCTCTCTCTTCATGTAATCCCAGACTCCATGATGTTGAGAACAGGGCACTGTGGGTGCCAAATCATCACTTCCAGGACTCCTTGTTCTTCTTTATGATGAAGATAGTTCTTAATGACATTGGCTGGATGTTCGGGGTTGTTGTCCTGCTGTACAATTAATTTGGAGACAATCATACCCCCAAACTTGCAAGGAACCTCCACTATTCTTCATTGTCACCTGCGGACACTCATTATTGTAACGCTCTTCAGCCCTTCAGCGAACAAACTGCCTCATACTATAGCCAAAAATTTCACATTTTTACTCATCAGTCCAGAGCACCGTCTGCCATTTTCTTCATCCCAGTTCCTATGTTTTCTTGCATAGTTCAGTCACTGAACCTTGTTTCCATGTCGCAGGTATGGCAGTTTGGCCACAATTCTTCTATGAAGACCACATCTGGCCAGACTTCCTCAAACAGTAGATGTGTGTACAGTACCTGGGTCCCACTGGTTTCAACCAGTTCTGTAATGATGGCACTGCTGGACATCTTTTGATGTTTTCAGGGAAGTAAGCATGATGTGTCTTTCACCTGCTGCATTCAGTTTCCTTGGCTGACCACTGTGTCTACAGTCTTCAATGTTGCCCTTTTCTTTGTGCTTCTTCAAGAGAGCTTGAACAGCACATCTTGAAACCCATTCTGGTTTGAAATCTTTGCCTAGGAGAGAACTAGCTGATGTATTGTTGCTGTGTTCAACCATACCTTGATGTATGACCTGTGATATGATACTGCTTTCTACAACCTCACCTTAGTAGTAGAGTTTGGCTGTACCTCACACAGTTTACTACAGTTTCCTCTTACAATTTCCAACCTCCTACACAGCTGTTTCTGTTTCAGTTAACTTTTGCACAGCACTGGGTAACTATTTTGCTCTCCTTTGATAATGCATTGCCCTATAAAAGCACAGTACCATATTGCTTTTGGGTGTACCAGTGTTTGTGTTTCTATACCTAAACCTGCACTGAAGATATAAGGAAGATGCTCATTTTGCTCTCTGTTGAAAATTGCTGACTGTCATGCTGATTCAAACTGTTAAGTACATTTTGAGCCAGCAGCATATACAGTATGCAGATCAGGACTTCTGCCTTAACTGGCACCTTATAACTATTAAAGCCAAAGGCAGCCAGGCAGCTGTTGTTTGTATATATTTTATGTTTATTGTATCCTTTATATTGGAATGTTTTGGATATTTGGTTTCTTAACAAGAAATGTTATTTATATCCGTTGTGACAGTAAACAGGTTCGGATGGTAGCTCTTTGGTAAGAAGGTACTGTCCATCTCTTTGAGGGATTACTGGTCCCAACTTCATTTTCATGTACGGAATCAACTGAAAACTGCTTCACTTCAGCAGTAAAAGCAAAGAAACTACTGCTTACCTAAGCATATACACCAGAGTCCATGTAGTCTGCTTTTGCTCAGCCTGAACAACTCACTGTCTGATACGTGAATCCTCTCACAGATATAATAGTCTGTCAGTTCACCATCTAGAGTTTTTTATACTTCATAGCACAGCCTCTTCCTGTGAGGTTTCATAGCCCTTCTATAATGAGCCTGGTATTGTGGCAGGTAGACTTGTGGACTGAGGTGGCCAGGCTGCACATCCGCTCAGCCTGCCTCTGTGTCCTGCTCCACTTGTCTACTTAAAGCTCTAGATGGTTGCTGCCACTTCACCTGGCTAAACAGCAGGATGGGCTGAATATTTGTAGTGAGCTCCAAGTCATTGTGTGTGCTCATGAGTGCCTGGGTTCTGAAAGCATGCACTAACACTTTAAGGTCCCTGACTGATGTGTTTTCATCCCCTTCAATTTAACAAATTTATATCCATATATAATTCTTATTTTAAGGCATTTTTTTCTAGCTAATGTATGCTCTCTGAATAAGGAAGGTGATCTAAAAAAAATCTAGCTGAAAGTATTTTTTTTTTTTTTGATTGAATGCTTATAAAGGAGAATTATAATTACCTTTGCTCCCACAATGCAACATCCACAAGCTGGACACCTTCTCCCTAGCTTCCTCTGTGTTCCTAATCTTCGACCAACTTGATTGGCCAAGTCTGCGCACAGGAGTCTGTTCATCCTGCAAATGAAGCATGCTAAGAAAGCATGATCACCTCAGTGTACATTCTACAGAAGTTTGCAAATAGGTAAAAATGTTTTATTGCAAAATAGACATAGGAACATGTTTAGAAAGCAGTTAAACTGGTATTTTAGAACCTCAAGAAATGTGATAGGCAGTCAGAAAGTAAAAACTGTATAAATTCCATTGTCTATACCATAGTTTGTAGACGCTATAACTTTCACACAAAGCAATCAATATACACTTATTGGGATTTTTGTTTTACCAAAAACATGCAGCAGAATACATTTTGGCCTAAATTTATGATGAAATTAGAGTTTTTTGGATATTTTACATGACATAAATGAGAAAATATCGTTTTTTGCTTTTCAAAATGTTCAGTCTTTTTTTTGCTTATAGTGTGAAAAATAAAAAGCGCACAGGTGATCAAATACCATTGAAAGAAAGCTCTATTTGTGTGAAAAAAGGACATAAATTTGATTTATGTACAGCATTGCATGACCGCGCAATTGTCAGTTAAACTAGTGCAGCGCTCTATAGAAAAAAATTGCGTAAATTACAATATCTATACCATAGTTTGTAGATGCTATAACTTTCACACAAAGCAATCAATATACACTTATTGGGATTCTTTTTACCAAAAACATATAGCAGGATAAATTTTGGCCTAAATTTATGACTATCTTTAAGTTTACTATACATTTTTTTATAGCCGAAAGTAGAAATACTGTTTTTTGTTGTTTTTTTTTTTTTAAATTTCGATCTTTTTTTGTTTATAGAAAAATAAAAAGTGCACAGGTGATCAAATACCACCAAAAGAAAGCTGTATTTGTGTAAAAAAAAGGATGTAATTTTCGTATGCGTACAGCGTTGAACAACCACGCAATTACCAGTTGAAATAGTGCAGTGCCGAATAGCAAAAAGAGGCCTGGTCATTAAGGGGGATAAATCCTCAGGATAGCAAGTGGTAAAAAGAGTCGGTGACTCATCAGTGAATTTTTAGTGAAATCACCTTCACTGCATTATAAAATGTGCCCTATAATATGTCTCTTATTCAATAAAAAGCCTTCCTGCTCCTAAATTGTAAGGGTAAACCCCCGAAAAATTGTAATATATTGCAGTTTACCAAACCTTAAATGTAGGGTTTTATTTAGGCTTTTTCTTTTACCTGGTAATCTGGACAGTAATACACTTCCTGTCTTAGGATGTCTCCACTTTAGAAGCACAATGGAGACACCCTTAGAGAGAAGCATTGCCTATCTGAGGAGAAGGTAGTGTTAAATGCACAAATTAAGGCATTTACAGCATTTTTTTTTTTTCTTTTTTTGGGAAAAAGGTTTACATAAATGAATAAAAGCTGACCATTGTAAGCACCCCTGTCAGTGTAAAATAGTTTGTCTCAACCCTCTAAGCCCTGGTTCACACCAAATTCGGATTTGAAATTTCAAAGCCACCGGTCAGTGCGTGAGCAGCTTGCTTACATCTGTGCAACTTCATGCACAGTTGTCAATGCAAATCACACATGAAATCGCCAAAAATAGTACAGGAACCTTTTTCAAAATTGGTGCAAGTCAGAGTTGCACGGATTTGAATGGTTCTATAGGCACAAATAGAGAGCGACATGTCCTGC